TTGAAATAGGATTTGGTGTTATCGAGGTTCAATTGGGATTCCGAGCCTGGGAATAGTTCTGTACGGTGATTTAAGACTTGCACGCAAAATTTGGTGTCATTCCGAGTAGTTTAAGTATGATTCGGCGCGTTTGGAGTGAGTTGGAAGAATTTGAAATTCATAAGTTGAATCTATTGGTTTTGGGTTGTGATCTTTAGTGTTGATGTTGTTTTCTGCATTTCGAGAGTGCGAGCGAGTCCGTTTTATATTTATGAACTTATTGGTATATTTGGTCGAGGTCTCGGGAGCCCCGTACAGGATTCAGAGGGTTGACGGGGCTTGTTAGCTCTTTGGAGAAGAGCTGTTGGTACCTGCCATCTGGTGCGTTCGCACCTGCGGTGGAATGGCCGTAAAAGCGGCACCGCAGATGTGTCGCCTTGCTCACAGAAGCGAAAAGAGGAGGGGTCAGTGAGCTCCACAGAAGTGAAGCATTTTCCGTAGAAGCGAATTCGTTTCTGCGATGGAGGGGTCCGCAGATGCGGAGGGAGGCAGCTTGGCCATGGTCGTAGATGCGCGAATCAAGCCGCAAAAGCGGGCTCACAGATGCGAGACTTGGCCGCAGATGCGATAGGCCAGTGGTCAAGCGTGTTCCGCAGAAGTGAAAAGTTGACCGCAGAAGCGATCCCGCAGAAGCGGAGGTCCTCCCGCAGGTGCAGAAATACCGCTGGGCAGAAGGGTTCATTTAAGTCGGGAGTTAAACCATTTTTGACTCATTTCTTTCATTCATTGGGCAATTTTGGAGCTTTTGGAGAAGGTATTTCACCTAGCACTTTGAGGTAAGTGATTTCTATACAATATGAGTTTAAAACATAGATTATGGATAGATTTTAACATGTAAAATTATGAAAATTATGGGTTTAGATGAATAACCCTAGGTTTTGATAAAAATGGGATTTACCCACGAAAATGGTTATAAGATTGAGTGAAAATTATATATTTGAGTTCGTGAGGTTATGAGTAATAACTTTCTTCAAAAAATTTCGGAATCTGGGCACGTGGGCCAGGGGTGAATTTTAAGAATCTTCCAATTTGGGTTGGGTAATTACTCTAATAGTTAAATTATGAACTTTGGAACATATATTGATTTATTTATACAACATTTGACTAGTTTTGGATTTTTCGGCACCGAGTTGAGGCTTTAAAGTGAGCTTTGAGACAAGGTAAGTCTCTTGCCTAACCTTGTAAGAGGGAATTTACCCCATAGGTGATTTAAATTGCTATTTGCTTCTAATTGTGGGGGCTACGTATGTACGAGATGACGAGAGTCAGTGCGTAGCTACTATTTATACTTATGTCCGGGTAGTTTAGGACCCAAATCATAAATTACTTATAATGTTTGTACCTTACTTATTAATTAAAGTGCCTAAATTATATTAGGACTTGTTAGAGGAATTGTAAAGGACCGAATTTCACTTGCTTGAGTTTTGAGCGAATTACTTGACCATTAATGGAAATTGTACTACATTATGTATTAGCCCTGTAATAACGTTTAAGTCAAATGGTTATAAAGTATCCTCTCTTCTTGTGGAGCGGGCCGAACGCTTCGGCAGTAGATATATGCATCTATGGTTCGTATCGCACGACCCTCGGCAGTGTACATATTTTTCTGGATCGGACTGTATATCCTCGGCATAATCGTGCGTGATGATACTTGGATTTTATTTATTTATTGATATCATTTCATGACTTGTAAGGTTAAAATAATATTAGACAGAAAGTTATTGAGATTTAGCATGTGTAAAGGAATTATTTATTTCCTGTTTGTTATTGAATTGTTGTAGTTATATACATAGCCCATGCTTATTTAGAGCGTATGTATTTTTATTGTTAGCCCATAGTAAGTGTCGATGTCGACCCCTCGTCACTACTTCTTCGAGGTTAGACTTGATACTTACTGGGTACATGTTGTTTATGTACTCACGCTACACTTCTGCACTGACCTTGCAGGATCTGAGGCAGGTGCATCTGGCGATCACATTGCGTGAATCCCCGTTACCCGGAGGCCTAGTGGTGAGCTGCTTCCTGAGTCGTTCCACAATACCTAGAATCTCTCCTTTGCATTTATTTCTGTCTATTTTCATCTCAGACAGTAGCTAGAGTTTTCTATAATCTATTAGTGTTCATACACTTGTGACACCAGGTCTTGGCACATACTGGCAGACTTTGTGATTTTGGATTATTACTATGGTTATGATTGCACGCATCTGCTTTCATTTTATTTATTTAAATTTTTTACTTCTTAATCTCTTAATAAATAGAATTTAATTACTTGAAAAAATTATTAAAAAGAGAAATCATGTGGTTAGTTCACTGTTGGCTTGCGCGACGGCGCTGAGCGCCATCACGGCCTGTAAAAGAATTGAGTCGTGACAGCTTCACTCATATTTTATAGCATTTTGGAGTTCATCATGTTGCTCTGCTACTTGCCCCACTGTATCCATTATGTGAGCATCACGTTCCATAGCCTCCACATTGTTGCTCACATCAAACTCACAAACATTATTAGAATCATCATAATAAAGGCTCATGGACGGATAAAAAGAATTAGGATAATAATTTCAATGGACACCTTGATTACCATACACATTATAAATATTTCACTCATAGGGATGAGATTGTGCGTACAACTTGCTCCTAGAAATATTTTGATAATTTTTTCACCAACGGGTCCTCCACAATATGGATAAGGATCATCATAATAAGAACAACTATCATCCGGACAATTTTTATTTCAAGATGCCATATTAAGCTAAGCTACAAAATACTAACTAAAATTTTAAAAAAAACTTGAGTAGATAAAAAGTAAATATCTAATCTAGAAAAATAGATAATTCTAAGTCCCCGGCAACAACGCTAAAAACTTATTGGGACTAAATGCACATGCAAGTATACGTGATCGATAATTAATAAAGAGATAAGTAGAATATCATTCCCACGAGAATTTGTTATTAGCTATTGACTAAAAAAGACTATTCTAATTATCTAAATAAGAATTAAACTTATAGGTGTTTGACTTTAAACTAATTAAAAAAAAATAGTAAACTCTGAACAAAAGAAGGGCAAATTTTTATGTTATCAATAAAGGGTTATGGGCTATCTAACAATCATATTGTATTCTTCACTTGAATTGACTAATTAATTGATCTAGTTTATTGGTTGACATAGTTAATATTGCTCATAAGAATCTATTGAGTTCGTACTCGCCTATTTAATCTAACATAACGCTTATAAGTTTATGGAGTTAGAATCAACAAGAATACATTCACAATTCCTGTATAATAACCAAGCAAGACAATTAGGTATATGTCTATCCTAACCGTGAATCCATTTTCCGATCTTCAGGCTCAAGAACTTGCTCTACTCAATTCTATGTACAATCTAGACCTTTCGAGTTTAATTCTAGATTCGTAGATAGTATTCAATTGGTGATCAAGCAATCAAATAATTAACCGCGAAATTGAATAAATAAATCAATATGATAAAGTAAAAAATGAAAATCAATATTCGGATAACAATAGTCATGAAAGAACCAATATCCTAGAATGTGAAGTTTAGCTCTACATAGACATGGTAGTCAAATAACAAATCATCCAAAGAAACATAAAAATTATTAAGTTTGGTGGGAAAAAAATGGAACCCAATGAGCTCTGGCATCCACGATGGCTGCTCGCTCTTACTTTGTCAAAAATAGCATAAAAATTGTGTTTAATGACTATTTATAGATATAAAAAATACCTAGACAAAACAACCTAGCTCAAACCCAAATAGCCTTGGACCCGGATGCCGATGCGTCGCACTGTCTATCGCGATGGCCAACCTCGGCCCCACGGTCTAAGAGGTGCCGTGAAATGGCAGCGTCGCGCTGCCCATCGTTGCTGATCTTCTTTGCCTCAATCCGTTTGTTAATTCAGTTGTTACTTGCCTAATTCTATTCAGGGTAGCGGTGGGCTGCCAAACTCTTCTTTCCAATTGATACTTCATTTGTAATGAACATCAACTAACACTTAAATCTCATCCGCGCCCATATAATCCTTAATATCTTTCTTACTGTATTCGATTTTTGTCTTAGTTTAATTTGGGAACTGTCAATCAAATTTCATTCTTTGCATATCATGTAATCTTTAACTGTATGTCCCTAATGAGATAATACTTTGAACAATTATAGGGGGTCATAGGACCTCTACAAAATTTAAGTGTGTAACTGAAAAAAGCGGAACAAATTCAAGGAGGAAATTATGTATTATTCCTAAACATTAGTCAATCATACACTTCAAAATATTCATTTTGTTTCCAAATCCCATCTTCAAAGTACATGTATTATTCATTAACACCCAAAATGAGTTTAAAATACAATAATCAAGTTAAGTTGGACATATCCAATACAAAATATAACCAAAAAAAAAAGGATAAAAATACGAGTAAATTAATATGAAAACATATATAAATATGTCCAACAACATAGAATAAACAAACAAAAAGCAAAGAAAGACGCACCTGGACGTCGTTGAATGCTTACATGTAGGAGCTAATTGGAATTGGAAGACCATCATCATTAGTTAAAACACATGGACACTTTCTTTCTTTACCTAACCGGTAGTTCTATCCAAAATTTTAAAGGGAAAGGTTCTAAATTGTCTATGAACTGACGATTGTAGCACACGATTGCTTTTCAATTATATTTTCCCAACAAATAGACTCTCACTTAGAAAGATGGGCCAATTTTGTCTTTCAAAAGAAAGCCTTGTTGTCGTTCGGCTCCAGCTCAATAAAGTAAGCATGACAACTGCCAACAAGAATTTTCAATAGTTGACATTAATAAAAATAATTAAAGATATAAATGAGTATTTTATTTTTGATCCAATAATTAAAGCCTTAGGGGAGTCGTCGGTGGAGGTTAGTTAAGTTAACCGCATAAAAAGAAAAAAAACAAATCAGAGATAAAAAAAGAACCGTTGGGATAAATGTGGAGCGAGAAGGAAGGAACCGAAATTAGAAATTAGAAAACATTGGGAAAAGAAAAAGAGAGAGAGAATCGCTTGGTATAGAAGCCATTGAAGCTCAAGGGCCTCTCTTCTTCGTCTTCTTCTTCTTCATTTGTATGTATAGAAAGAGAAACATTTAGAGAGAGAGAGAGAGAGAGAGAGAGGCTTCTTGGCTTTTTGGTTAGCTGTATTGATAACCAAAAAGGCAGGCCATATGTCAGATTCAAGCAGCGATTCCGTTTCCGTCGATGTTGAGACCATCTATCTTGGCGGAAAGGTTCCATTTTTCCCTTTTACTTCATTTAGATTAAAATCTGCCTTATTTGTTGGAATATTTTAATATTTAACGAGAGAAACGCTTGAAGTTATCCTTCTCTGCCCGCAATTTTCTTTTCATTGTGGTCATAATCTTTAATCTTGATTTTTCTTGTTTAAGCCCTGCCATTCATTTCTTAGATATTTTTCTTTCCTTTTTTTTAATCCTTGTTTAATGGTGGCATTCATTTCTTTGAAGGCCCAAAAACACAGTAGTTCTTAATTTTTTCCCCTTTTTCAGTGTTTGGGGGTTAAGAGAAATTTAGTCCTGAATTTATCTATTTTTTCTGTCATTTACTCTGGTCCTTAGTTTTCAAGTGGAGTGGGAAAAAATTGGATCTTGAATTGTACTTTATTCTCATTTGTTGTCTTAAATTTGTTTAACTCATCCAACACTTGCGAAATGGCATCTTAATTCGGATTGTTAAGCCAATATGGAGTAGTAGGGGTAAACATTCGTCATCCTCTCTAGGAGGTATAATAGGTGAATGAGACGTAGACATTATTTTTGGTATTCTATTGAGTGTAAGATGACATTGAAAATAGGGCCTAAGCTTTCGAGAGGCGACTACAAGAGCTAGGGCCAATTTTTCAAGGTGCGGATAACATGTCTCCGCTCCCGATAGAACTTTGCTAACATAATAAATAGGAAATTGCGTACCTTCTTCCTCCCGGACCAGAACAACGCTTACCGCTTCCTCCGAGACCGCTAAATAGATTAACAATTGCTCACCTTCTATCGGTTTTGATAGCAATGGAGGGCTAGACAGATACCTTTTTGGATCTTTCAATGCCTGTTGGAATTTCGGAGTCCACACGAAATCGTTCTTCTTTTTCAAAAGCGAAAAAAGTGATGGCATTTCTCCGAAGACCTCGAGATAAACCTACTTAGAGCCACTAGTATACCGGTCAACCTCTATACTTCCTTCACACTTGTTAACTGGTCCGGAATATTCCCGATGGCTTTGATTTTATCGGAGTTTACTTTGATTCCTTTTTGAGAGAGCAGAAACCCCAAAAACTTACCGGAACCAACTCCGAAGGCGCACTTCTCCGGGTTGAGCTTCATGTTGCATTTGAGGCTGGACCAATTTCCAAGAGAGAGAGAGAGAGGAAGCAGTCTCTAGAAACAACAGGTTGGGAAAGCACTTCTTCCCACTTTTGGAGTGACACAAGAAGAGGGATTACCATTATTGACCTAATAATGATAACCCATTAATACCTTCCTCGTTGGGGCTCTGCTCAATAACAAAACACTAACAAGCCCACTGGTATCTTCTTCCATCCTCTCCAGCCTGGGCTTTGATTTTCTTACACCCCGTATCTAATTATTTGGAAGGTTTTCTTGTTTGGCATTTCATTTCTTGGAAATGGAGTACTTTTCTGTCTACTTAATGGTTGTTAGTTGACTATCTGCATTAAGACTTTACTTAAACGGTCATTCTGTTTCACTGGCTATACTGGTTAGTACATTTTCCATTAATGATAAATTTTGAGGGATGAGATATCTTTTACATAATGGAGCTTCTATCTTCTGATCAATTAACAGCAAATGACCTTTTTTCAGGAGCATATCATAAGGACTGACTGTGGTTCTGTGTCCGTTATAGTTTATGGAGACCAAGAGAAGCCAGCACTGATCACTTATCCTGATCTAGCTCTAAATCGTAAGTGTTAAGTTTGTATCCTCTAGTTTCATATTTCCCTTTTTTTAGGATTTTCTATTCATGTACTTATTGTCGCCTATATATTTTTATGTTATATACAACAAAAACAACTATGTCTCGGTCCCAATATTCTTTTGGTATATGTTACCTTATATTGTCGAGACTATATTTTCTCATTCGTTCTTGCAGATATGTCATGTTTCCAAGGACTGTTCTTCTGTCCGGAAGCAGCTTCTCTGCTGCTCCACAATTTTTGCATTTACCACATTAGTCCTCCTGGGCATGAGGTCTGTGAACTGGCAAGCTTATTTTGTTTCATCAAGTCATTAGGTTTTCTTCTATTTGTTGTCAAACTCTCTTTGAGCCGACTCATCTGAATCCCATTACTTACATAGTTCTCTTCTCGGAATTCCACAAGAGTTCTTGCAGTTGGGAGCTGCAGCAATTTGTTCAGAGAATCCTATACCATCTGTGGATGATTTAACAGATCAGATAGTTGAGGTTCTTAACTACTTTGGGTAATCACTTAAGTCCCCCCACCCCACCCCACCCCCCAAAATAAAAAACAAATATTTTCCTCATGCTTGTCTGCCAAATCCTTAACACTTCTTTCTTCCTCTGATCCTTTTGGCTTATTAGATATCTTTGTTAAGTTGTTTGGAGCTCCTTCGTGGGAACTTCTTACTAATGATGAGATTCTTGTTGTTTCTAGGCTTGGAGCAGTGATGTGTATGGGAGTAATTGCTGGTGCTTACATACTCAGCTTATTTGCTGTAGGTCTCTTCTCCAAAAATGTCATGCTGATGCTTTTAATAGTGGTATGGCTTAAACTTTACTAACAACACTCACATGTCACAGATAAAGCATAGGGAGCGTGTTCTTGGTTTGATTCTTGTTTCCCCTCTATGCAGAGCACCTTCTTGGACTGAATGGTTTTACAATAAGGTACTGTTTCATATCTTCCGTTTACCTTTATGCTGTGAGAAGAAAATCCACTATATGAAACTGGAGATTATTGTTAATATAGGTCATGTCAAATTTACTATACTTCTACGGGATGTGTGGTGTTCTGAAAGAGTTCTTGCTGCACCGCTACTTCAGCAAGGTACCCTACATGCATTCCCTTTGTGTGATCACTCATAGATTGTGGTATGTTTTTCTTTCTACTGATTGGATTGAATAAGGAGGTCATTTCAATTGTATCAGGAAGTTCGTGGATCTCCAGATGTTCCGGAATCAGATATAGTTCAAGCATGCAGAAGGGTAAGTGCCTCCACTGTGGTAGTCCATGATGAATTGTTCAATTTAATACTTCCACTGGATATTGTTTAAGGATCTTCTCTTCTGTATGTTTCTTCTTTCTGGTCCTTTAACTTTTCAGTTGCTAGATGAGAGGCAGAGCATGAATATTTGGCGTTTTCTTCAAGCCATTGACGGGTAACAAACTAAACATTACTGCTTAAATATTTGTACTGATTTCTTAATTTACATCCTTGTAAAATTACCTCTCTAAGCTTGACTCTATGAATGAGCAGGAGACCTGATATCACGGATGGATTGAAAACACTAAAATGTCGAACCCTCATATTTGTCGGGGATGATTCTCCTTTCCATTCGGAGGCTCTCCACATGACTGCTAAATTAGATCGAAGATTCAGTGCCCTAGTTGAGGTATATCACGAATTTTATGTTTAATGACACACCATTTCAGTATATTGTCATGTGCTATGAATTCTTTGTGTGGCCAAAAAATTTAGTGATATTTGGCTAGTTAGGCTAGATACTGTCTGTATATCAATTATATGCTCTAACTAAATGCTGATGTCCGAGTTGGCATTAGTTCTTGGATCTCGCTTGAGTTGTATGTATGGCACTTTGAGTAAAGTAAATGCACCACAAAAAATATAGGGAATAAGGAAAGAGTGTGATTGCAGGTACAAGTGTGTGGATCAATGGTGACAGAAGAGCAGCCACATGCTATGTTAATACCAATTGAGTATTTCCTCATGGGGTATGGACTATACAGACCAAATCAGTTCAGTTGCAGTCCTAGAAGTCCTCTCACTCCATCTTGCATTGCTCCTGAGCTTCTCTCTCCAGAAAGCATGGGTTTAAAACTGAAACCTATCAAGACTCGGATAGCAGCATCCCCACTGCACAAAAATAATACTTAATTCTATGTAAAATGTAAAACCCATATATAGTTTTCATTTCTGGTTTTTTTTTTTTTTTTTT